GGGGGACATCATCGCCCTAGATTTCTTCCAGAGGTTCTCAAGCTCCAGCACCCAAACGCAGCGGGCTCCGAAGCTGCTCTCTTCGCAACCCCACCGGCATTCGCGCTCTTAGATCCTTGCCAGAGCGGGACCGAGGGTGCCTTGAAGATACTCCTTCGGACGTCAGCCAGGAAAGAGCGAGGCTGGCGCACCCCAGTCCTCAAAGTTGCCCGTTAATCGCCTGCAACCTGCATCGCCGTCGGAGGCGGAGGTAGAGCCTGGGATGACGGCCGAAAGCCCTCAACCGACGGGTTGCGCGGTGAGCCGGCCCGACGCCGAAGCCGAAGCCGCCTCTAGGCTTCCCGCGCTGGTGAAGATGGAGCCGGCAGCCCCGGGAGAGGCCCTGGAGCCGGAGCCGTCGGAAGAAGACGGGATGGGAAGTTCGCGGCCTATCGGACGCCGCCGCAAACGGCCGGTCCAGCGCGGGAAACCCCCGTACAGCTACATCGCGCTCATCGCCATGGCCATCGCGCACTCTCCGGAGCGCCGCTTGACCCTGGGCGGCATCTACCGCTTCATCACCGAACGCTTCCCCTTCTACCGCGACGGGCCTCGCAAGTGGCAGAACAGCATCCGCCACAACCTTACGCTCAACGACTGCTTCGTCAAGGTGCCCCGAGAGCCCGGCCGGCCGGGCAAAGGCAGCTACTGGGCCCTCGACCCCCACGCCCGCGACATGTTCGAGAGCGGCAGCTTCTTGCGCCGCAGGAAGCGCTTCAAGCGCAGCGACCTTTCCACGTATCCGGCCTACATGCACGAGGCGCCGGCCCAGCCCGTCGGGCCTTCGCTGAGTTCAGCCTACGCCCCTCCTGCTGCTCTCTGCTATCCTTCCCAGCCGCCCCTCTTCAGCCTGGGGCCCCTCATGGCCCAGCCGAGCCCGGAGCTGGTGCAGCAGCATAGCATGGACATAAACTCTTCTCCTAGCAATGCCTGCTCCTTTGCTGGGTCCGCAGCTTACTCTAACCAAGCCTGCACCGCAGCTTCTGGTCTAGGCAGGCCCCACAACACCATGCCTTACTCTTACGCCATCCCCAGTGCCCAGCAACTCCAGGTTAACCAAGGCGCTTATTCCCAGAGCAGCAGCAGTAACCTCTTTGGGGCTTCTGCCCGTCTAGGAGTACCTACCTCACCCCCCATCACTAATGACAGCATGGATTTCTATGGCAGAATGTCGCCTAGCTCCTACAGCTCTTTGGCTCACGGGTACAATGCCGGTGGGCAGCTCAGCAGTCCCGGAGCCTACCTGCGCCACACCTCTTACCCCAGTAACATGGAAAGGTTCGTTTCAGCCATCTGAAGTCAAGGAGAAACTTGGCTAGGGGAAAAAGAGAGCAAGGCAGGGCAGGGGAAGGGTGAGATCTCCGGTTGTATTATCTTCCCCTTGGGCTTAGATTACCATCGTGAGCATGTTACCCTGGCACCGGCAGGAAGGTTGTGGTGTTCATTCGGTGAGACTGCACATCGATACGCCAATCAACGCCATTATTTAAGTCTGTAAGAGGAACAGGACAATGGAGGTGTTCACAATGCAGGGCTGGTGTAAAGATTTAACTTTGTGAAGCGAATGCACTATACAGTATGAAGCTAATGACTCTGCTGTGTAGGTGGGAGTGTTGAGAAGACACAGGGGACCCTTTCATGCTGTGAGCTATGAAACGCACCACCTGTCAGAACCAAAGGCAATGCAACGTATCAGATCTTTTTGTGTGCTTTTCCATTCCTGTCAACTCTCCTCCACTTTTTCTTTTGTGAGCTCCCTCTTTACAAAATCATTTGTTGTAGCTGTAGCCTCAATAAGTAGCAAGCTTTTTCTTTTTCATTTTTTTTACCTAGTCCAATTATTAGCAATATTATGAATAACTAGTAGGTGTATGCTTAATACCCTCAATGTCAAGTTTTCAGTGACTCACAAGTTCATTTGGAGAAATAAATGTGGAGTCAATGATTCACCCTTCTGTTTGAATGCTTTCTGCTGGCTTTGGAAATGCAATAAATAACCTTTGAAACTGATTTTCTTGGAACTTTCTGATTTGTAGCTGGTTATTTTCAGTTAGATAGCTTGCATTGCAGCGCATAAAGGAACTTGCCTCCACACTTCAGTGCATGTATTGTTCATCAAATTAAGTCAGATTTCTCTTCATTTTTATGGGTTGTAAAAATATATGCTTAGCAGCTGTATAGTCAGCTACGTAATCAGATAGGAGTACATTTACTAATGGCTTATGCGTAAGAGATAAGAAAATGTCAAATTCACCCCTAGAAAGAAGACATTTGTCCATATTCGGTAACTTCCCTGCTTTTAAAATTCAGCTTCGATTTTTGCGACTGAGAAATACATACTGTGTTCAAAACATAAAATCTATTGTATATTTTCTGAATAACACAGTAATCAAATGATTCACCCAAAAAGGCAATTCTATTTTTTTCAAAATGATGCTTTTTACCAGGGAGCAGTTTTGGGTTTTTTTGAAGACTTCTGCTCACCCTACTTTACTTATCTTTCATAGCAATCAAGATTTTGATATTGTTATACTGGTAGTTGAGGCAGAAATACAAAGAAAAGCTGTAAAATGAATAGCTAAACCCATATGATCAAATACTGTACATTATCATTAAAAGTAAAAAGAGTAAAATCCTATAGGTTATCGTCTTGCAATCCTGGATCAAAAAACTAACTTTTTAATAAGAACTATAGGTATCAGGACTCCCATTAGCTGAAAGCTGTTTACAATCCAAACAAGACTAATATCACACGTCCCTATAAATCACATAGTACAACATTGTTACGGTTGCACCATTTCAGACTTCAGGAATAGAGAGACTAACTTATTATAAATGACAAAGAATCTTTTGCAAATTCAGGGTAATAACATATTAGTTATTTAGTTGTTAGAAAAGTTCTAATGAGCCTTTCCTTAATGTTCTATGTATAGGAAGTTCTTAACACAGAAAATATTCAAAATTCAATTTCCATGGACGTGCACTTATAGATTTGAAATGAATTTTGGACTATAACATTCATATGATGAACATGCAGAGTTTGAGCCAGATAGTGTGTTCAGGATGATGAATTTGACTTACTGGGTTAGACCAAAAGTGTCAGAATTCAGCATTCTTGAAGAAATAGTAGCTAATTAGGTTCCTCTGGATACTTAGAAGAAGGGCACGAAATTCAGCGTATTCTTGCTATTGTTTGTTCCCAACATCTTTATAGATTTTGAAAATGGATTTCATTTAGTAAAAACCCTAGAGAGAAACACCATCTGTGTAATGTGTCGAATTTTTTTGAAGTTAGTGGCTCCCACCAGTAATTTGGATAGCACCTGCTTTTCATATGTTAATTCTATGTTCAGTGTAGCAACCAAATTAATTTGGTAAAAGGAGAAGGGGTCGGAATTGCTTCAATTTATTGCCAGCTAGTTCTGTGCAGTTGAGAAGAAGATACTTTCCTTCAACCACAGACCAATTGATACCCCTTTTATTCTATTGCATTTCTGACTTTGTTGTCCAAGCAACCTGCAGGGATGTACAAATAAGTTCTGGAATTCTGTTTTATATAAGAATTTTGAAAACTTTCTTTTTGTTAAAATACTATCAGATTCTGTACCAACAAATTACATCTCCCAAGCAACCTTGAATGCTCTTGTATCCTTCAAACACTTCTTGCTCTGTTCTTTGGCCCATTCTTTGTCTCAGTATTTTCAGTCATGCATGTATTGTATATATGCCTCTACCTCGAAAAGACAGAAAGAACCCAGGACAAAAGGATAATGATCTACTAACTGAGGTGGCCTTTCTTCAAGCATTATGTGTGGATCAAGATGGACACTAAATTAAATATGTTGCTACTCCCATAGCTCTATTTTTAATTTTTCATTCGTACCAGGTGAATTGATTTGCATTGAAATTACTGCTATGCAGGTGTATGTTTTATAGCCAAACAGCATAGGAAAAAGGATTGAATTTTCTTCTTTGCACTGCAAGATGGGAGAACAGTTGCAGTTTACATTCTTCACCTATTGTGTAGTTCATCTCTAGTATTTTAAGTTTTCTATAACAAAAAAATCTGTGGCATGCAAATAAGCAAATTCTTTTAGTTATTTTAAAGGCAGTTTGAGAAAGAATTCCACGGGATAATTTAGACTGTAGTAAATTATATTGTATTCCATTCATTTTATAATTTGTAAAACATTGAAAAGATATTTTGATGTGGTTTGATTCTTAGGGAAGCAATCCATTTTTTGTCAGAGCTTGTTATACAAGCACTGACTTTTCTACTAAAGAGCCTGTATAACGTGAGAGGCAATCTGGAGAATGTTCTGATGCAGGGATTTGATCCATACAGAATGGTGAGCAGCCCTGTTGGGCCAAACTATTTTATCACGTGAACTAGGAAGTCCCTGAACAATGATGTTCATTGCAGATGAAAAAAAGCTGTGGGGGGGGGAGTTGTTCTTAGACGGATGTTTCTGCTTTTCTAGTCTACAGGAACATTCCTGCACATTCCCCAGAACAATTAAACTACTGCTCTAAAATAAAAATGAACAAAAAACCGAATGAACCAAAGCAGAGATGGACAGAAAGAAGACTAAGACTTGCTGAAATCCTGGGTGATTGATAATATATCTGTAAAGGTTTTTGGATACCACCCAATTAACAAAAGGCTTTTTTCTTCTGTAAATTAGGTTGCCGATTTTTTTTTTTTTAAGGAAGGAGTACGAGATTCAATTTTAGTAATGGAAGCATCATCTTGATTTCCGCTTTGTGCTCTAAGTTTAGAATACTCTTTAAATTTGCTATGTGGGTGCTTGACTTCTGTAACTCTTTTTCACCTTGCATCGGTCGATTGAATTTGGGGTTCCAAGAGTAGTAATTTAAAAATGTAGAAATTTGAAGTTCTTTCTTCTCTGTAGTAAAACAATCAAAATCGGTACTGTTTAGGTCACTTCTTTGTATAATATGTGCTAGCTTGAAAGGGTCCCTCAATTTCAGTTCTCCATGATATCATCATCAAGGTAAAGCTGTTCTCAGTTCAGATATGATTTAATTGAAACCTCACAAGGGCAGGGTATTATTAAGTCAGCATTAACTTTACCGTTAATGTTGCTGTTACTCCATGCCACCATTGGATGGAACTCTTGTCTCATTCTTTTTCTGGGCTCCTGTGTTTCAGGTCCCTTGAGATTAATGCTGGTTTAATAGTTTAGCAGCTTCCTTTCAATAGTGGAAAGAACAGGAGTAAAATCAGCAAGAATTTGTTTCCACATTCACTTCATTAGGGGACAAGATCTACTAGGCTCCTGGCCTTTTCTTTCTTTCTTTCTTTCTTTCTTTCTTTCTTTCTTTCTTTCTTTCTTTCTTTCACTCCTTTTGTAGGGAGTGGGAATGCTTTGAGAGGAGCAAGATAGATGATTGTTGTAGGACTTCCAGTTGTTCAGGTCAAGGCAGCCATTTTCTACACTTGTTCTTGGCACAAAGGCAATTATAGATCATAGAAATATGCCAAACATTTCAAATTCATAGAATATATATTGATTTATTAATTTCCTAAACCATTCACTGCCAAAGTCTCTAAAGAGTATACAGAAACTAAACATACTAAGACAAGAAATTCTGCAATAAATCGACTTAGCAATTATTTTAAACATTTCTAAATCTCCAGATCCATCTGTTTTAAACTCTGACCATGCATTGCCTTCAAGCTGCTTCTAAGAGTTATGAAGTAAAAATGTCATTAATGTCAAGAGTTTTACTAGCCTGCATTTCTTTTTATTCTTATCAGGCGAAATCAGAAAAGCAGGAGATGTGTGTAACTATATTACTCTGTACATCTACACATGGATTACCCAGTCCCTGTTAAAGGCTTTACATGCATGGTCCCAAACACATAATTTCTATATATAAAAGGAAAAAGAACACTATAGGGCTGAAACCCATTGTCCTAATATAGAGATTGTTCTAAATAGAGAATTCCAAGTGTTATATATTAGTCTAAAGACCTCCTACAGTGGTTTGACTTTTTCCCCTCAGTGGATTATTTGAAAATAATAATGGTGGAAAATGACAGAAGTATATAAATGGGATAAGTTGCTTCTGAGATGGGCCTAAAAACTTGCACGAATGAGGTCGACTAATTGATTTATTGTTTCCTGATAATTCTGTGAAGGGATTAAAAAAAACACAGAGGTGCATTCAGTCATGTAGGTCCCATGTACAATACACAATGGTATAGCACAAACATTCACCTCCCCAATGACTACAAATAAGAAACATAAGGAGAAAAAAATGTTGGAGAGGTATGTCTTTGCTTATTCCTCTATATTATTCATCTTTGTTCTTCCCTGTTCTAATACATTACTTATAAGCAAATGAAGCACCCATAGATGGATGCAAAACATCTCCCTCTAGACAGTTCCGATGTGAAAAAGGCTGATGGCTGCTATCTGGCAGAGGCATTCTGCTTGCCTCTATTTCAAATTTTCCCAGCCTGGAGCTCCACAATGGCTTGGATGATAGTTACCCTTGTCCTCCATCATCATGGTTGAAGATAATGATCCTTCCAGGCTAAGGCATGTTAAAGATACTAGATGAAGAAGCTACTTCATTTGAACATAGGTCAGTAAACCCAACATTAAAAAAAAAATCCCTTGTGCTGAATCCTCCAAAGGAAGACACAGTCACAGGGTATTTCAAAAAGAAGAAATTGCAGGAAAATTACAACAAAGGCTACCAAATTTTTATTGCTCACACAAGAATGATAGGTATCATGTAGCCTAACAGCTTTTCCACATTGAATAAGGAACAATTATAATCCACAACTTTTCAATTAAAAGCCAAATAAATTTTGCTCCAAGTGATCATTTTCCAAAGATTGGGGGTCCTCTGAGCCTTCTGGTCTTGGTGTCTCCTCTAATCCTGGGTGCTGAGCTGGGGGGGAGCAGAATAAAGAAGGTATCACATACAAATATTTCTGTTGGTTTAGTCTAAATAATGCTGATGTCTCTGAGCAATAACTATAACCAAGATTAACTATCTAAGCAAAAAGGAGTGAAACATCAACTTCCAAATTGATTATACAGTAAATAATGTCTTCAAATATTTTTTTTATTAATGATGACATATTTGTAGTAACAGAAGCAAAGAAGAATTAAAACTAACAATTCTCCAAATACTATTGTTATGAAAGCCATTAGTTTCCACAACTATAATGTTTGCAAGGTAAACATTATCAGCCAGATGCTATTTCTCTGCTACCTAAGGCACCAGCTACTTTAAATATTTATGGGCTTTCACAAATCATTGTATTTGTGATTATTTTCCTGTAATCCCTTTAGAGATTTTTCAATACAACAAAAGGTTATATTCAAATCTTAAAATAAAGTAAAAGTGTACCAACACAAAAAGGGCTCCAGTGATGAAAAATAAATTACAATAGGTATTAACATTGTCTTTTTAATACTTCTGTCCATTAAAGCTGGAGTACAGTAATTAATCAATGAGAGTCTTTGATGGCAGAACCACCTCAATCACACTAAACTAGAGAATTACATTTTGACAATGGTGGCACAAGTCACTTATGGAAAGGCATGAGATGAGACTCCCTCCCATCACACAAAAAGAAACCAACTGAAAGCTGTATTTACTTTAACATAGGCCATAGATTCTCCCTCAACCTGAAAAGCACTAGCCTAGTTTACAGCTACATGGCAGACTACAGACGTCTTTTTCTAATATATAATCTTATTTTAAAATACGATGCCAATTATATTTTGATTGGATAATTTTACAACATTATGACAGCCATCCAATGGTTCTTTGCATCCCATAAAGCATACTTGGCCATCATGAATGATTGCCACACACACACACACATACACAAATGACCATCCATCAGGTGAGTCAGTTTTACAACCGGTTGCAACATTCAGCAGTCACATGACTGTGATTCACAATGTCCTCCCCCCCCCCCCGGTTCTTGCATTTTTGGCCTTTTTCAACCAAAAAAAAAAAAAAAGAATTCCCATTCAAAGGAATGTGTTTGCTTAATGAGTGTAGCATTCACTTACTGACCTTTGCAAAAAGGGGCAGAAAATTACTCCCAATCAACTCGACTGTAAGTGCTTCAACTTACGACCATAACAACTTGTGACAGGATTTCTGGTCTTAATTGCAGTTGTAAGTTGAGGGCCACATGTACATCTATTTTATTTCCTAAGTTTCCTCATTAACTCTCTAGGAAAGAACTGGAATTTACTCCTTCCATTAAAAGTATTTTCTACCTTGTTGAGTGAGTTTACACTCAAATGGCCAGGCTACATATGATGCAAGAGACATATCATCAGATCTGTGATACATTTACTGTATATTTCAATAGTACTTGTGGAAGGTTCTGAATGGTAGTGGGGGAAAATATTCCATATCACTTTCCTAGTCTAGATATCCCAAGCAAAGTATTAAAAAATATATAGCACACTAGCATTATATGATATGTGAACGGGATATTTGAGGGACAGTGGTGGGTTTCAAATTTTTTTAGAACCTCTTCTGTAGGTGTGGCCTGCTTTGTGGGAGTGGCTTGGCATTCATGTGACTGGGTGGGCATGGCCAACTTGTAAATTGTGGTGAAACTCACTTAACAACGCTCTTGCTTAGGAAACAAAATGTTGGCTCAAAAACTCTGGCATTTGAAGCACGCAAGTCTTAAAGCTGTCAAGTTACAAGAACCTTGCACCCATAACTCTTTAGAAAAAAACCCGAGGGATGTTCAAACTTGAAAGCTTTAAGACTTTAAGGTTTAGAGGCGGGCAGGGCAATTGGTGAGCCAGCTAATCAGTGAGTGGCGGGCAGGGAAAGTGTGGTGCGGCTGGGCAGGGGTGGGGGGGAGTTGGAACCAGTTCTAAACAGCACAGTAGATTTGTGGAACCTCTTCTATAGAAGAGGTTAGAACAGGCAGGAACCCACTCCTGTTGAGGGACTGCCTCACGCTGGTTGCATCTACCTATGTCATCAGATCCCGCAGGAGAGGCATGTTGCTAGTCCCGTCTATGAAGGAGTGTCATCTGATGGGATCTAAAAAGAGCCTTTTCTGCCATTTATGTCATTTCTCTGCAGACTAATTATCTCCAACCTTGTTGGCCTTTAGACAGGCTTTGAAAATATGACTTTGCCACCATACTTGGAGATCTAGTGGTACAGAAGAGCATCTTCAGTGGCTGTGCAGAAAGCAGGACACTGAGTGAATTTTGCCACTAGTTAGGATTATTTTTCTGTTTTTAATCCAGTCTTATTGACAGTTTGTAAGTTTATAGGCTTTTTTTAAATTAATGTGGGTTTTTGGGGGGATACTGTTTTAATTGTTAAGAACTGCCCTGAATCACTGAAGTGAGTTGGGCGACTATGCAAACAGAATGAATGAACTAATCAATCAATTAAATAAATGTTAATCTATCATTTGGCCCTGATATTGTTGCAGTTGTCCTTTTAGCCAAAATTAATAAAGGAGAACATAATGATAGGAGAAATAGAAAGCTGGCTAAGTTCAAATTTAACGGTCCTGCCAAACCTCTAAATTAGGGCTACCAAATAAGGGTTGCAAAAGATGACTACCAGCTGACTGTTCTTTGTCGTCCCCTGATGGTCATCAGAACTTTGCAGTTCAGATACAACAGCTTTCCTCTTATTATATATAAGGGGCCCAACTGTTCAATAATTCCACAAAGAACCACTACTGTTGTACTTTATTTGCTCTGTAATAAAATTGAAATAGCTACTAGTACAGAGGTGTCCAACCTTGGCAACTTTAAGACTTGTGGCCTTTAATTCCCAGAACTCCCCACCAGCATGGAATTCTGGGAGTTGAAGGCCACAAGTCTTAAAATTGCCAAGGTTGGACACATTTGTACTAAACTCTTTATCTGATCCAACTGAAGAACCATGGAAAGGGACAGGGAAGATGTTCTCCAAAATTATTTCAGAGACCTTATTTATCATCCAGACCAAATTTCCTTTGGGCTAAATAATACTCTTCTCACCAAAAGAGCTTTTATTTTCAAAGGCTGCTATTACAGAACTTACCATATCTGAAAACAGATGGAGTTATTTCCTCTTGGGAATACAACCCTTCCGTTACCACCAGAGGGACAGAGTATTCTTCATGGAGTCCATGAGTGACTTCAGGTTTCTCCTCCACTGTGGTCACTTGTGTTTCATGACTCTCGGCTTTCTCTGACTGCAATTCTGGTTGTGGTTCTGGTTGTGGAGTCTGGCGCCGGCCTCGGGCCCTTCCAGTTGCTCTTCCTTTCCGTGCTCGCTTGTGTCTCTTTTGCTCCCTAGGCGAATGTACACATAAGAATCATTTTGTAAATTCTAGGACCCTACTGATTGCTTCGAAGGGGCTTTTTACTAAACCATTAACTCAGGGTTGCAACCATAGCTGTAGCAACAATGAAAAGTTGCAGAAAAAAATTAAAACCTGGTTGATACACCATCTCAAAGTTTTATCTTCTAAGGATATTGTACAATGGCAAACAAAAAACTCTGACATTAGATATAGATGCAACTTAACATGCTTTGATATGTGGAGATACATATTCACACACAAACATAAACACACAGACACTAACACAAGGTTTTACCATTTATGACACAAAAGTATGTCTACTGAAATTTCAGAAGCCAAAACAATAGCTCCGTGGTCAAAGGGGATTTTTTTTGTATGTAGTATAATGCCTTGCTTGTATCTCTACAATATAAGAAGCAAAATGAATGATGCCAAATATTAAATATTGCAAAATTTTAAATTAAATGTTGCAAATCTATTTTATGGGCCTAGGGTAATAACTGCATAATTCTGTTTCCTGGGCATAGAGCAGATTCAGTAGGTGTTGCTGAGCAATTAAGTAAAACATGCCTTTTCAGAGTCACCTAAATTCCAACCATTTCTGTGAAAACATACATGTCATTGTGAGAATGAGATGGGCAAAAGATTCAAGGGTACAACTGGGGGATGTCATGTTACCTAGCAATGGAATATGCAAAAACTTTAATATTTGAGTTGGAATGAAATATGGGCAAAGAAGAAGGGTAGCTTTGTGAGGTATACTAGGAGAGAGTTCTATATGAGGAAAAGCAAAAAAAAAATTCTTATTTGTCTTAGAAGAGAAATCTATTCTACCAATTTTGGTTTAACTTTCATGTGACTAACTTGCTTTTTATGAGAGCAAAAGTAATGTCAGTGTCATTATTTAGACACAAAACATCCTTTTAAAAGCTTTGTACAAACAAATACAAAACAGCAGATTGTTTTAACTCTAAAATAAACATCACTTCATCACCATCCTAATTTACCCCAGAACCCACTGTTCAGTGTCTTTTTCTTCTGCTTCTGCTCTTCTTTTTCTGAGAAGTTCGCGGTCTCTCAAACGGTGTGAAATGCCAACATCTGCAAGAGGTAACAAGAGTTGCATGAATTATGCTAAGAGAAATCGATATTGCAGGTATAAATGCTGAATAAAGCAATGACAGAACCATTTCAGCAACTACTAGTACTGAATATATTGGGTTCTTATGATTAAAAAATTAAATGCCTACAATGAATGCCTTTGCATGACGGTTGCGGAGAGGTTTTTTGAAAACCCGTAAGTATTTAATTGGCTACATGAACACAAAGTGAACATTATTCCAATTAAATATTTTCATAATGGCTGAAAGATTTATCATATGTGCTGTTTTTGTCTCCATTAAAAAAAATCTGCTGAGACAAGCCAGAGAAATATCGGAATGAAAGTTATTATTTTACTTCCTTGTTAAAACCACTCCAGTGTATTCAAATATTATTTTAGTATGCAAAATTCAGTAAGCAATTATGCAGCCAAAGCTTTTAAAAATACTAAAGCTTAATTCTCTCTGTATAGTATCTTCATATAATTGTAGTCAGCCTATGTTCATGTTTATCCATTTAGCTACACTTACATTGTAATGAAACCTGCTGCTGCAGGCTGTACAATCAGTGATGAAATTCAATTTTTTTTACTACCGATTCTGTGGGCGTGGCTTGGTGGGCATGGTGTGGCTTGGTGGGCGTAGCTTGGTGGGTGTTGCAGGGGAAGGATACTGCAAAATCTCCATTCCCACCCCACTCTGGGACTAGCCAGAGGTGGCATTTGCCGGTTCTCCGAACTACTCAAAAAACCTGTCAGAACCTGCTGGATTTCACTCCTGGGTACAATTAATTTCATTAAAAACAAGTCTGGTGCATTTTTCTGTGTTGCATGTCACTTTTGACCCACCTATCACAACTCCAAATGAGAGAAGAAAGAGACATCTTTTCCAGATTAGAGAAATGACATCAGACACTTTTGTCCAAACAGAAAATGAGAACATGGGGTAGAACTTTGCTTGATGATGAATTCTGAACTTAGACACATTTTTTGTTATTGGAGATAACATACACAGAACAACCTTAAGAAAGTTTATAGTATGGCCTGTTGATTTGGGCATGTCAGATTCCATGTGCTATCAGCATTTACTTGAGTAACATTCAACCTGACCAATATCACAATGGGAAATAGCCCATTTTTTCCTTTTGAGGAAAAAAAAATCTATAAGAGCCTCTTTATATAGCCATTATTGGATATTTCATAATCATTTAAGATATGAAAGCTATAACATGTGGTAACAACTTAATTTTCTAGCTGTGACAGAATCTACATTTCATTTGCCTTTGTCACAGATGCACGACACATGTAAGATAGGTGCATCTTGATCATAAATACTTTTTAACATTTTTCTCAGGTAATGGTTTCCCCAAAGTCTGAGACATTTCTACTTGATTCTCCTTCATTAGAATCTGTTCATAATGCTATTATAAAATGAGGTTATCAAGAGGACAAGTGGTCTATACCCATGACATAAATTAACTCCACACTTGTAATAGAAGCACATCAGCGGCAGCAGTGAGTTTTTTTAGTGGCACCTCAAGGTTCATTTATTTATATTTATGGTATTCAAATATAAGTATTAAAAGGGTATCTACCTTAAATAGACTCTACCGTAAAAAAAACACCTTGCATCAGCATATTTATTAACATCTGTCACCTGATGCTTTTCTGTGCTTTGGATTCATGCAAGTCACAAATGTTTGTTTCAATCCACATGTGGAGTATTATGCATAATGTCCACTTCAGCAGCAAGTGATGTCTCCCAATGCATGAAATGAATCTATCCTCCAGCCTTTGATGGTGAGAAAAGCACCAAGTATCTTGCAATGTAAAGAGTTTTTCTCTCTATAGTTTACCATTTAGCTAGTACCTACTGCACCAACACTCTTTCATTATTTCATCATTACACATTATCATTTTCTATAGTTTTTGCTTTGTACTAATGTCCAACTGGTACAATGAAGCAAAAAAAGGGTAAATAATACTGTATTTCTCCCCACATACCCCCACCCCCAAAGTGGAGCATAAAACAGAAAGATTGGATTGACAAACTGTTCTCTCACAGTAAGGACCACAGTTGCCTAACCCAGCAATTCTATGGCAATATCATCTGCTCTTATGCCTTTTTCAATATTACAACAGAAATAAAAAGGACTGCACAATTTGTGATGTGTATTTAGAAATGAATATTCTGAATTCAAGCTAGAGTTCAACAATAGGATTTATTTCTTTGTAAGGCTAATATGAAGATAATGGACACTTATGATAGACATGCATGAGGACATCCAACTAGCAGAAATAGTTTTTTTTTAAATTCTTTCCGTTATTTTCTCATGCCAATTCATTTTCCCAGCCATATTATCCCATGTTCACACTCCTGGACTGAAAACAAGTCTAATATAGTCATGGTATTTATCTGCCTGCTTTTCACATTTATCTCTGCTTTTCCTTCTATTATTCATGGCAATTTATGGCGGGTGTGGGGAGAATTAGCAGTGGGTCTAAGACATTTGGTTGCCTGAGGCAGAACATAAAACAGCACCCAACCTTTCCCTAAGTTAAGATAGAACATGGCATCCAACAATTATTTTGGTATCTGAGGCAGAAAATCCCATCAAGGCTTCTTTGTTTCCCGGGCAATGAAATTAAGGCAATAAAGTAATAATTTGCACATCTTTCCTGACACTTGAAATAAAATGCTTGCAAGTTGCATCTGTTCCCTTGACTTAATTGGTGGCTAGCTCTACTGTAGATATACTTCAGCATTTCTCTTGGTCTCTGATTTTCCTTTGCAAATGCCTTGGGTCTTTTTCATTTGCCTCCCTATAGCAAACAATGTTATAGGGAAATATACATTTGTTAAGTATAGCCAAGGTTGGGTTACTTTCCAGACTTTTGAGGATGAAGACAGGTGGAAGATTTTATGTGGAAGCAGTTTGAACAAATCAGTGTTCTTTTGATCCATATTTATATCCTGTACTTCCTCATTCTACATCTGCAACCTTGCAAGATAAATTAGGTGAGGAGTTTTTAAGAGCACCCAGTGAGCTTAAAGATCCAGATCCAAACTCATCATCTCAGTCCAAGTCTAAAGCTGTTCAAAAGTAGAGTGGATAACCTTCTGCTATATTTAACATTTTGCTTCTGCTTTTACTTGGTTCAAGCCAAACCTATGCACACAAACAATATTTGCAGAAAATCCTCCCAACGAAAGCAAAATAAAAATAGAGGTTTATTAGGGGCAAGGATCATAGATTAGGTAATTCTTGAAAAAATGCAAACTTGTCTCCCAAAAAGCAATCCCTTTCCCCAAAATAATTTGCATTACCTGCAACTGCATACTCTTCAGGTGTGGCCTCTGCTTGCTGTGGCGTTTCAGAGTATGAATGATCCTTTTCTAAATTTGCCATCTGTAACAGTTTATTTTAATATTTATATAGAAAAAGGAGCTGAGCTCCACCATAGGATCATGTAACGCATCTAATGGTTTAGTTCAAAAAGAATTTCCAAAACGGAGGGGGGGGAAAGAAACAGACTACCCGCCCTACACATCTTATCTACCACGGACATGGCTATGTTAATACTATTTTTTCTTATCAAGTTGCAAAGGTGTTTATATTGATGCTAAAAGCCTGTCATATCAATTTCCAAACACTTTTTCCTTGGACGAAATAATTATTTTATCAAAGAAATGTGCCCTATTTAAAACATAGCACATTTGGAAATTCCTGAAAAAACACCCCACCATTTAGAAATAATTACCTCCTCGAACAGCTTTGAAAAGAACAGATTATTAGATAAAATTGCAAGCAGAATTTAGGCACAATAAGAATACTTCTCTGGAAAAAAATCTGTTCAGATATATCTGTGTATATATTTGCATGCACTTTGCTTAAAGATCCCTTGTCCTATGTTTTTTGTTCTCTAGGAATATGCCAATAAAAGAGATTTTAAAGAGAATCTAAATGAGAAAGTACTCCTGAGATTTTTTTATGTATATTTATTTTGTAGGGAGGGATCAGTACAATTCTAAAAACATATGCTAAATAAATAAATAGAAACATTTGGCACATTTACAGTGTAGCAATTTATTTTGAAGAAGGTTCTGCAATGGAAAAAATCCTTTAGCTTTTCACATCAAACTTTGTACACTCTGTGTGTGTGTTTGTGTATTCACATCAAACTTTGCCATTAATACTACAAATAACTGAAATGTGATGTAACTCCAGGTTATCTTACAAACACTGGCATTTCTTAGTTTGCCTAATTTCCACTTTCTTTCCCCCCTCTTCTTAAACCATATTCTTGAAATTTACCTCTGTAAAATGTTGGATATGTATTACCTTTTAATATTGGGAGTTCCTTTTTCCCTTGTCCTTTGGACACCTCCCTTGCGCTTAAATGAGATTATTTTGCTGCTCTAGAAAGGTGGGGCAGACTAAAAGTGACAAGAAAGAAGGGTGGAGGTAAAAGGAACTAAATGCACCTACTGCTTTTTGTGATATGCAGAGGCAAGGCACTCATAGCAAAAAACTGCATGCTTCAATTAATTGAGAAGGAATCCTTAACTCTATTATGGCACTAGATGCAGTTTCCTATATTACATTTTCTTGAACAACAAAAAAGTCTTCAGTCATTTTCAAGATCAACAAGTTTATTATGGCATAAATTTTCATCAGAAGCATTCAGTGCTTTTCTAAACTGAAAGTACTTATTTATATAGAGGTAGTGAAACAAAAATAGTGAAGGCCTTTATATTATTTTGGTTGTAACCAACCTCTATGACAAGAAATTAGTTTTTCTCTTTCAAATTACATGTATTTTTTATACATAGCCTTATAGGCTTGCTATCAAGTAACATAAAATTTGAAAACAGTTTATAGTTTAATTCATTGCATAAAATCCCAATGGTTGCTTATTTAATAAACTTTGGTTAATCATATCAGACAGATGGGATGGAGAACTCAAAATTTTCTTCCAAGCCATAAACTATGTTTATCATTTTAACTGATATTAAAATGTTATGTGCCAATGTTACGGAAATTCAAGAAATATCTGCTGCTAACACTACAATAGTTCTTTAATGGGTAGCTCCTGGAGTTGAGTCATTCAACTTAAGTACTTCATTTTGGTCATAATGTACATCAAAAGGCTGAACTGTTGTGTTTTGTTTTGAGTTGCCTAAGTGATTTAAACACCATACTGTTACATTACCTTTGGAACGTTAGAGTATAACACTGACCTTTTTTTGTTTTGTTGCTATAAACTTTTATAAACATATCAGCTGGGAGGCTAGGATTTCATAACTTTTCAAGTTATTTAAGGTAAGAAAAGAAATCTATCACTGTTTCTGATAAAATAAACATTTCTGTGAAGCTCAGCAATAATATTTCCCCATTATAAAGAAATTATTTACACAGTATTTTCTTATTTTTTTCTCTATGAAATTATAAATTTAGTATTGTTTTTGAAAAAAGGAAAAGGTTGCCTTGGGAGTGAAGGAACTCATCCCATAGGAATCTCCAAACTTTGAGGGCAGTTAAATACATTTTGCAGTCTTATTTTGAGAAAAGTACTATGGACATTGTTGTAAAATTGTAATCCAAAATGGATTTCACAGAAAAGCAAATTAGCTAAGGAAAAAGACAAATAACTATTTAAAAAAAACCATATACATGGCAGATATGGGATATATGCTTCAAATCAGATACTTGATTTTCATTTAGAATCTCTCACATACAATTTCTCCCTACACGCATCACAGTAAGATTTATTCTTGGTCTAGTCACATAAAACATATTAGGGTTTGACACAATATGAGAACCAAGTCATTGTGATCATAATATAGATATAAAATAAATATAGCAACTGTTTATAAACAGCATATTAAACTGCTGTTTATGTATGGTATATGAACCCAGCTGGGATATGTTTAATAAGCCATGGTTTGCTCTAATAGCCAGACATTAACTATTAAAACAGTAGCTTTAGAAAACATTTAGGGAAAATGCAATTATTAAGCTACATTATAGTCTTTTTACCTGAAAGTGTCATTTGAATGAGAAATCTTCATTCCAGTTCCACATCATTTCTCGTGAAAGATCCAGACAATGCCTTAGGATAAATTTGTTTGCTAGGTTGTGGCTCAATATACCATCACATTAAGTAGGTTAAGGGATGCCTTATTGGAGAACAAGAATTCCTACCTATTTCCTCCAACCCTTCTAAGTATTCCAAGAGCCCTTGAAACACAATGCTAGAAAGCCTTCATTATGTGAATGTCCCTTTTTCATTATTTAGGTAAGTTGCAGTGAATGTAGTATGAGTGCTGCAATCCTTTTGTTGGGAAATATCTTCTTAGGCTGGTTAGTGTTGGTAAAAACTCTGGTAATCATATACTTTGAATTTTCAGATTCTGCACCTTCATCTCATTTTCTTGGCGACTAGACTGGGCAGGCTAAGGTTGCTAACCTATCTGGATTTAGGATTTGCAATAATTTCACATCTAATGAAAGTGCTTTGACTAATAATAACCTGATTATTTGAGTGCCAGAATGATCTAATCCCTAATCCTAAATATTTTGAGGTTTGCAGAACAGACATATGGATAATTGAGGTATACATTTTGTGTGAACCCAGCCACCCATTAACTATTCAGCGGGTTTAAATCTTTCTTAGTCAATGCTAGGACAACTTCCTATTATGCTAAATTTATCAAGTTTTAAAATGTTAAACTATTTGCAGCTAAATTCATACAAACTAAATTGTGATAAGTTTTTGCTCCAGTGTTGTTAAAGGAACCCAGAAAGTAAACAATTTTTATATATTTATATATATCCCGTTGGTACTTCTTAAAATTAAAAATATAAAATTCAACATTGAAACAACAGAAAGATATACGCTATACTACCTAAAGCTTTCCAAATAATCTGCACAAAACTCTTTTGAAAATGTAAGCAACAACTGGTGAGTTCTTAAAGTCTGTTGAAAACTGATAAGTACATTATAAGTATGACCCAGCAAAATATTGAAAATGACAGGCTAAATTAGATAATGTTTCCTAGTTTATGAACAAGGCCAAATTGTGCAAAAACATGATTATTCTATTCATTTCTTCAATAATAGCAATTTATACAATACTTGTGGCTAATTTAATCCTGGCTTACTTATCCTAAATTTACATTATACATTGACTGAAATCAAAACACATGTAACCACACATAACATATTGTGGTTCAGTATGTTATGCAAACACAGCCAGTTTTGAAGGATATTTACAGACTATGGTAAGAAACTTCTAATTAGATGCAGCAGCTACCAACTCATATGCATCATTTTCTCAATTTGTAAGTTTAATGAAGATTTTCCAGGTCAACTGATAGTGATAATTAAAGAGAAATAACTGAAATGGGACCTGAACATTCTGAGTTCTTCTAATCACATATGGATAAACATACATGCTCTTTTTAGATCATCTGATTCTCATAAGAGAAGCAGGAAAACCTAAGATTATTTTATGCATTTGTCCTGCAACAGTGAGTGACTGTGAGCTGGGTCATCTCTATTCTCGACCTGTGCATTTCTCAGTTGGTTAAGATTTTCCAGGAGGTGAAATGCAGTACTGCGCAGTTTGAATCTCACCATGCTCAAGGTTGACTTAGCCTTCCATCCTTCCGAGGTGGGCAAAATGAGGACTCAGAATATTGGGGGCAATAGGCTGACTCTGTAAACCACTTAGAGGGCTGTAAAGCACTGTGAAATGGTTCATAAGTCTAAGCACTATTGCTATTGTTAAGTAACTTGCAAGCAGATTAGAAGGTGATCCCTTTCTGAGTTCAATATTGAACATGCTTGTGAACAACCTCTGCAGGATGATGATGATGCATCCATCTTAGTCCTCTTGCTAATGTTCAATATAATCAAGAGCCATATCATTTTGAACTGGTTTGGGGGGATGAGAGTGGAGCATCCTACTTTATAGCAGTTCTCTCATCCCTTATGTTTACCATCTATGTGAATTGATGAATTCATTCCCTAGTTTGAAGTCATCAACCTATTGAATCATCAATTGGCTGATGATGACATAATAGTCTTTGTCCCTATTATTCATACCATGGCTTGTGATGGAGTATCACCAAAAGACTGATAATCTATAATGGCGTCTCTCTGCCCCAGGCCAGACAGGTGATGCCAGTTTATGTGCAAACCAGGTATCTGAAGGTTGTAGGTTCTGAATGGGAAGGAATTAGATAGGACACAACCCTAGCAAGACAGTGTGACTCTGGGTTTCTGGAGTTCTATCTAACTCTGGGTGAGATAGCACTCCTTCATACAGAATTGCTGTATAATTTGGAGGTCCTCTTGGACTCACAGCTATGGGCCAGAAGGCTTTTGTGCAGGTTTACTTTCTGTCCCAATTATATTCAATTTAACCAGGAATGGTCAATCATGCCCTGGTCACTCCCCATTGGACTGCTGCAACACATTCTACATAGCGATGCTTTTGAAGATCATTCAGCAACTGTATTCAACTAGTGCAGAATGCAGTGGTATACAGAGTTCTGGGTACTCTGTAATTTGCCCATGCTGCACTGCTGCAGCACAGACTTCCTTTTTCTTTCTGGGTACAATTCAAGATCTTGTTATCACCTTTAAAGTGCTATATACTATATGACTATAGGTTATCTTCAGGATCTCTTTCCCCACTGGGTTGCATTGGATGCACTCACTCGTTTCCTCTTAAATGTTGCCTTCTGCTGGGACCTAGAAAGCTTTTCCATAGCTGTGCTTACCTTGTGGAGCAACCCTCCACAACCCCCCCTCCCCCCATGTGCAGAGGAATCCTACCTTGCTAGAAAGTGGACTTTCCCCTCAGGCATTAGATAATTTATGATTTGTGGTTGGGTTACAAATTGATTTACAATCACAATTGAACGCAAAATTTATGTGACTAAGTGAGAAAGTTGTTAAGTGAGCTTTGCCCCATTTTATAACCTTTCTTGCCACAGTTGTTAAGCAAATCACTGCAGTTTAGTAACCTGTTTGTTAAGTGAATATGGCTTCCTCATTGACTTTGCTTGTCAGGTCACAAAAGGTGATCACATGAGCCCAGGACATTGCAATTGTTATAAATATGAACCAGTTGCCAAGAGTCCGATTTTTGATCATGTGACCATGTAGATGCTGCAATGGTTACAAGTGTAAAAATAGACATAAATCTATTTTTTTCAGTGCTATTGCAACTTTGAATGGTCAAGTAAATGCAGTGTTTTTCAACCTTTTTTGGGCAAAGGCACACTTTTTTCATGAAAAAAATCATGAGGCACACCATTAGAAAATGTTAAAAAAATTTAACTCTGTGCCTATATTGACTATATATAAAGTAATTTTCCCACGGCACACCTTACACTATGTCACGGCACACTAGTGTGCCGCGGCACAATGGTTGAAAAACACTGAACTAAATGAATGTTTGCAAGTCAAAGACTATCTGTATAATGCTTGAGGATATAATAGGCCCGTGATGGCAAACCTGGCACGTGTGTCACAGGTGGCACGCAGAGCCATTTCTGAGGGCAAGCAAAGTGTTGCCCTGTCAGCTCCAGCACGCTGGCCAGCTGATTTTCTGCCTTGATTTTTGGCTGGTTTTTTTGCCAAAAAACCACCCAACACGCAAACCAGAAGTTCAGGAATGGACTTCCAGTTTGCACGTTTGGCTGTTTTTCACAGAGAAAAACTGTCCAATGTTTGCACATTGGGCAGTTTTTTTCCTTTGGGCAGAGAAAAACTGCCCAATGCGCAAACCAGAAGTTCAGGAAAGCTCCTAGAAAGCCTCTGGAGCCTGGGGAGGGCAAAAAACAGCCTCCAGTGGGGCAGGGGAGGCGGTTTTTGCCTTCCCCAGGCTCCAAGAAAGCCATCCACGTGGCAGCGGATGTGTGTGTGTGTGTGTGTCACGCATGCATGTGTAAGGGCCATGGGGCGGGAGGCATTAAATTATGGGAGTGGGCACGCAAGTGCGCGCAATAGCACACCCGTGCGTGCATTTGGCACCCGAGGTGAAAAAAGTTTGCCATCACTGTGATAGGCTTTTACTTTTTAAAATTTTGTTATCTGTATATTTGTTATTAGCCATCCAGAGTTATCATATATGAATGACCATTCAAATATTTTAAATATTTTTTAAAAAGAAAATTATTAATTTATTTGTGGTCATGCAAATAATTTAATTATTGTTAATAAAATATAGCTGGCACAAGCCAGTCAAAACATTCAGCCATTCCTTTTATAACAAGAACATATAATTATATAACACGAGCATCACCTGCTGTTGAAACAGAAGTGTTGTGACATCATATAAATGGAGTACTGTAAATACTCCACGATGTGTGATTAATAACTAAACTTTATAATATAGGCTTTTTAAAGATGTAAATCTGAACACAATTTGCAAATCTGTGGAGACACATTTGATTGATATTCATCCTGAAAGTAGAATTTGTAAGGTAAACATTTAACAGTTAGTAGTTTGTTTCAAAAATGATAAGCTACAGAAAAGCCCAAAGGATAAATTAGCTGGTTTTCAATTCTGTGAATATTTTCTGCTATTTCATTATTTCATACAAGGTACATTCTTAGGAATCATGTCCCCCAAATATAATCTGCCTGCCTTGTATAATCATTGAGAAAGGGAATGGTCAGCATTCCGAAGTAGACTATCATTGTGGTAGCCTTGTCTTTTGAAACAATTTGCCCATACACATGCCCTTGGTTATTGTCCTTCCATAAGTAATTTTAAATATTGTTCAAACTGGCTTTTAACTTTTAGTACAGTTGTTGGATTATCTTTTGGGTCTGGGTCTCTTCCTTGTCAGACATTCACTAGAAAGACATATGCTTGGAGTCATAATTGTTAATTGAATTATGATTTATTCAGTTCCATTTTCTGGATTCATATTATTCATTGATTAATAAGCCTACAGTACTACATTGGCCAGCTTTACACAACAGGATTATTAGTTTATGGCTTACTGTGCTGTGCAAATGCAAACTCTGTATTTAGCTGCAGCTGTCCAAAAGCATCGGTGGTCTCCATGTTGATGAAAACACCATTAACTTATTTGTGTATGTTACACTGTTATTAACATGCACATTTTAAATGATCCGGTAAAAGAAGAAAACATGGTATTTCAATGAACCTTGCATCATTGCATTAATAAGATCACAATGTTCACTTAATTATTAAATTTGTACACCACCCAAACTCTGAATGAGGGAGTGGTTAGAATGCCTGTTCATGCCTATGCAATCAAAATATTTAAGGTATGAGAAGTCTAGTTATAAACATGGGATTTAATTAGTAAGAAAGAAATTAAAAATAAACATCCTTGGGTTACCCATCAGTGATCTCTAAATTCCAGAAACCCAGAAGGCATAACAAGACTACCAAGTATGACAGAAAACCACTTGTACTCATCAATCAACTAGTGAATAATAAATAATAAATTATTATTATGAAGTTGCTACCTGGTCAGATTTAAAATGACAAGTTCTGCCGAATGCCTGTCTTTTAATGGAAAAAAAAACAGGAATAATTTCCAATTTTGCAGTACATGAAATATGAATATAATCGAGGGGGTTTATTTTTAATTCATGATGTTTGGTAGGAAACTATGCCCCCCCCCTTTTCTCCTGCTTTAATAATAGAATGAATCTAGTATTCATAATCAATATTATTGGTAACTACCCTTTATCTCTTGTAAGGAAAAAAAAGATCAAAGCTATGGGAAAACATGAGGATTGCAAGAGAAAAGCAATGGCCAATATGAAAGGAGAGAAACATTCTTGGACTAGTCACTAGGTTTTTAAAATGTGTTCCTGCCAATTATTCAGCCTATTTTTAGGCTACATTCTGATGTGTTTAGGATTCTTATTTTTTAATCTAACCAATTATAATTGGGGCTATTAGTAGAACTTTGTGCAATGTATAAAATCAGCCCTGCATTTCATCCACGAATAGAGCTCGTATGTCGAAAATAAACACAGCACATTCAGAGAAACGTCCGATGTGAACGCCATCCTTAATTTTCCAGGTAGGAAAGAAACAGCACTCCTGGATACATTTGGCGTTATTTGTTGCATTTAGGCTTGTATTACGGACCTTTTGAAGAACCTAACTCTTCCGTTATGTTTAGTCAAAAGAAACTCGGGATGAGAAAACTACCATAAATCTCCTGCGCAGAGGGGGAATATTAATCGGAAAAGGGTTTAAACCACCATTGCTTGTAGAAATACGGCGCCACCAGAGAAAGACCGCAGTGGCTGGGACGCCGCTACTGTCAGCAAGGAGAGAAGGGTGTGGTTTGGCTGAGGAAGTTCCGGGCAGCCTCTTCTACGCCTCCGCTGTGCCTCCTGGCGGCCATTCCGTCGCTTTGCTGCAGCTCACTCCAACTAAGGGCCCCGTTGCCAATTTAACTGCAGTCGCAGCGAAGGAGGCGCCGAGCGCTCCCGCCCTCCTCCTGCAACTCCCCCTCCGCCGCTTCCCTGCGAGTTGACTCGGCACAGTGAGCTCAGGGCCTGAACTCGGGCCCGTCCCGTTCGTCCCATCGCCGTCATGGAGATGAAGAAACGGATCCACTTGGAGTTACGAAACCTGACTCCGCCGGATGTAAGCCAGCCTGGGCGGGAAAATGGGAAACAGCCGGGGACGTCCTCCCTTTTCGACACAGCTTGTTCTCTCGCCATCCGTACACGCGCACACCGGCCCGGGGAGAGCGGGCTAGTTTTTTAAATTTAAAGCGCGGAGGGCGGAGGGGGGGGCTTGAAAGAGCAACCTGAGGGCGGACGCTGCCAGGGAGAGCCGCAGTTGCGGCTGCGGGGCCAAAACGAACATCTGACGGACTCGAGAAGGGACTCTGTGGCCGCCATATTTCCGCTGCCGCCGCTACTGCGTCGGTCCCGCGAACGTGGGTTGCCGCTGCGGAGGAGCGAAGGGTGCCCCGCGTGCACGCAGCAACCGCTTCGTGTTGCCGCCCGCGGCGCGCGCGTTTCCCCCCCTCTTAAACGGGCAACCGTCGCGTGGAAGAAGGGGCGCGCGCTCTTTTTCGGCGCCGCGTCCGTTTGCCTGTGGCCTTGCGCGCGCCCGCGCTCTCGGGCCTTCGCTCCTGCCTTGCGCCCTCCCCTTTAAACGGGCCGCAGCTGCAGAGAGTCGGCCGCGTGCGCGCCCTCTTTATTCCGCTCTCCCCACCAAACCGTGTTCCCGCCAAAAACTTCTCTTTTTTTTTAACCCATAGTAAAGGGAAGGTGCTTTTCGGCCACTTCTAGGCTCTGATGGCCTCCGTGGCAGAATTTGAAAGATTTTGTGATGATGCGTTTCCAGTGGCGGGACACATTCAAGGGTGGCCTCAAAAGGGCTTTTGTGGTGCAAAATACAACAAAATGTTTTGCATCCTAATTTTGAAAAAGCAATAAAGGAAGCGATACTAAAGTCTTTAATAGGTATCTTAGCAGGACGATTGGGACAGAAAAGTCTGATCGTGCTCTGAAGTCTAGTTAGATTATTTTTAAATAAAGATTCCTATTGAATATAAATATCCTACCATACATTTTTGGGAGATAAATCAAAAGTTTTTCTGTTTTTTAATCTGCCTGTGGTTTCCTGACATATCTGAACTTTAAACCATGCTGTTGCTTCTTTTTTTTATATTCTTCAATAATCTTCATATGTACGGTACTCTGAAGCCGGGAAAAAACCCTACCATACAACATTTCACTTGTTTATTTTAAGGCAGGAACTATAAGTTGTCAATGTCTCTCATCTCTTGTACCCTAATAAAATATTTGTCTGCCTAAAAATATTAACAAAAACCAGCATGGTATCCCAGAAAATAAACAAGGTACATACTTCTACTCTATACAGTAGTCTTAAATTTATATGCTGAGTTTTGGCTTCTCTAGCTAAAATTGGTGGCCATTTCTGGCAAGTATCTTAAAATCGTGCTCTCTGTTACTCCATTCTTATGCATCTGTCAGCCCAAGGTAGTTTCAAGCCTGCTCAAAAGAGCCTGTAGAGAGGGATTATTCTCTTTTAAACTTGAAATGAAATAAGATTCTTCAAAGTTCCTTAGGGTTTTCTTAATAATTCAGCCATTACTATATTCCTTTTAGGGCCTTTAGAAAGCGGAAGGGTTTTTAAATATGAAGAGTATTTACTTCAAAATGCATTATCATATTGCAAACTTTGAAAATACCTCATTTGGAAACTGATTATGAGAGTCTACTGTATAATCTGATTTAACAGAAAAATATGTAGTTGTATTAATTGCTTCCTTAGCACTGAATTTGGCCTCTGATGGTTTGTAAGCTTATTCAGAACATGCAGGGAGTCTTCTTTTAATTTCATAAAATTACTTGACTAGAAAAAGAAATGTGAATTGGCTGTTCTTATCTGCTAAAATAAAAATAATGATAACAGTTGAAAGACAGTCAGTGCTGTATTATATATAAACAATATATGTTTTAAAATAATGGTAGCAAACAAATTTTGGATATCTTTTGTTGTTCCATTTTTTTGGTTATGAATTTACTGCAGAATTATCTCTGCAGAGACCTGCATTCTGCTGTAATACTAGAAGGCCTGGAGACTGGACCAAATTTGACATGAGCAGATACAATCCTTAGTATGTCTTCTTTTAATGGGAAGATGTTTGGTGATTTTCACACTTAAGTCTTGTGGCTGCAGAAGTTGATTGTATTGGTTAAGGATTACATAGCTAGATGTTGTTGCTCGCCAAAAATGGGGAAGATTATTGGAATTAAAGAATATTGATATGAAATTGAAACTTCTACTTTGATAATAATGTTGTGGGCTAGACTGCTTTATGAAGATCTTTCTGGAACAAATCTCTCTAATATATTCTTAATTTCCTTATTATCTTATTACTTTTTTTAGATGTCTAATTTGTATACCAGCAGAATATTTAACTGTTTTATAGATTTTTTTTTAAAAAATTGTATTAATAATGGTTTAGTGGTTTATGTGGCTCGCTCATGAGATAAAGTGCATAAATGAATAAATATGCATATTAGTAAATTGGGCCTATGCATATTCTCTTTTAACTTCAAGTGCAGTCTCCTTTGTAATAAAAGGAAAGTGGCCTGCTGGACCGAACTGATTTTTATGTTGCTAGAAATAAATTTTACATGTATTCCAAAAAGAACAGCTTTTACCCATTCCTTACTTTGAAGTTTTCTAAGTTTTCTGTAATAAATAAGTAGAAGCCCTAAAATTATTCAATAGAATGTAAGATACATTGGATGAATGAGAGATGTTCTTAAATAAAGAGATGTAATTGTACTGTAACCTTACAGTGTGTAATTATAACTTGGTGCAAGATTGTAACCCAATAATTATACCTTTTTAAATCCATTTTAGTTTTGAAATCCAAAGTATAATCCATTTAAAGTGTTTAAATTTCTGAACTAACTATACTGTATTTGAAAGCCTAGTTCCACACCAGGCTTAACTCTATTTTGGGGGAAATGTTTTTGAATGAATGATCTGTGAAACACAGAAAATATTTGAGTAAAACTTAGACTTGTGGAATCTACATTAATTATCATTAGTTTGTGTTTGGGGGTGGTGATGTTTACATATATGAGAGTCAGCAATAAAATCAGCTGCAAAATGAAGTTCTATCATTTTGCATACAGTCCTAAAAATATACTGGAGGATGTCACAGGCTCATGCAATAGAACTTTATACATTTGAGGCAGGTAGAGCCAATTAATTTTCATGCTCAGCAAGCCTAATTGAAATCACTTGCTTATAGAAGGGCAGATTATTATCTAATTCAAACTACTGGTAGATATGCTAATGCAAATTTCCCAAACTAATAAAAAATGAATAATAATATTTTTACTGGGGCGATACACTGAGGTAAATAAATGAATAATTAATAGAGGGCCAGCAGAGACAGGTTTTTTCCATAAAGAGAACCCCCAAATTTATATTTTTTTAAACTTAAATTATGTTTGTTGAAAGTGGAAATATGAACAAGCACAAAGACAGAATTGTAAAAAAATAAATCTAATTTTAGTAATCAGACACAGATATACAGGTGTTGATCTGCATTAGCATTGATACTATTACACAGTTATTGGAGTAGGACAAAGAGTGGAATAGTTATATTGATTGGAAAAGCTTCAAATTCTGCCTAAAGTCAGATTTCCATCCTTCATTATCTTCATCAAATTTCTAACTTTCACAAACAAATTATATAATTCTAATCAAATCTACATCCTGGCTTATTTTTACAAGGTTTTTGTTAGAGCAGATTGTTTTCTTACAGTAATAGTAGTGCAGGTGGTAAGATTTCCTTATTGCTAACACAGTGGGTTCTTCTGTCTTTTCCTGAAGATTTTGTCTCAGCTTATTTTGGCAGGATAATGCTTATCCCCAAACCAAAACTATAACCAGAACTACAAGTGTTCTAATATCAGTATGTTTAGGTTCTTTTCTCACAGGACTTGCTATTCTTGTCTCATGCTTTTTCCTTCTTCTACATTTCCTGCTGATCTTTAGTAAGAAGCAAAGGCCTATTCAGTCTTAGCTTTCAGGGACTTTTTCCATTGAATGAAAAGTAATGTTTTGATTCTCTGAATTTATAAGCATAATTATCAAAGCTTTCATTGCTATATTCAGTCATCAACACAAACTCTCTTATATGTTTCATGTAACACAAACATTGTAATATAGCTTATGCATACTTTTATAGAAATTAGTGTCTTACTATAATACTGCTGTTAAATCTAAAATACCCAAAGGTTCCACATCACCATGCTAACCAAACCGATGAAGGAATGCCCTTAGCCATCTTTTTAGAGAGGAGTCAAAATGGACTGATAGAGCCTGTTGCAAATTATTCTTATAATGTCTATTGCTTATCTTTGTTGCACATCTTATATTGAGATGTGATCTCAAAGAAAGAAACTGCTTTAGATAATTTAATAGGTAATCGTCAGTTTCATTTACCTGCTGCTCTAGCTCCAAAACTCTCTGTCATTAGGATATTTAAAATTCTCACTGAATAGTTGTCCAATTAAATGGTGTTCATTTTATTTTGTTTTCCTATTAAGTAAGGAGGGAAAACTTTTGGTGGCTAAGGATTATATTTAATATTTTGGAGAAGCTTGAGGACTATACTGATGGGTGGGACTGATTTACATTTTTCTGGGTCATGTAGAAGATTTTTGAGGCTCGCTCTCCTGGTAGGCAAAATAGGAGACACCCTTTCAGATAAACTGTTTTAAGCATTCAGTTCTTTATATGTTAATATCAACACCTTGAATTTAGCTTGGGAATGGATTGATAGTAGAGGTGACAAAGTACAGTAATACTTACTAGTATGATATGATTGAGCATATTTTTTATTAATGTGTTTGATTTAAATCAGCCCTCCCCAGCTCCCAGAACTGGCAGCAGCAATGGGGGAGGGGGGAAGAAAGGGGGTGGTTTTGCGTGTGCACCTTCCACAAGCACAAATGGAGCTTTGCATGCCCACTGCTTGCACAGCCCACTTCCCAACAGGCCGTGACCTGGGTTCAGGCTGAAGACTGGGGATTGGGGGAGCCCTGACTTAAGTAATTTTAGGGTTATTGTCTGTTTTTCTTGTCAAAGATGAGATTTCAGCAGTTATACTCAAGGCAACTCCAGGAGCTAAAAAGGGAAGCTCAAGGATTGTAGATTGTCAGTTCTGCTCTAAGAAATAGAAATGTTTGGACCCATCATTTTCACTAGAGGCTCAAGGGATGCTCATAGCACTTTTTATCATCTTTGGCTGATAAAGCCACTATGATATAATTGGACACAAATAGCTTTTCAGTAGTTATTCATGCTCTAGAAACCTCCTGTTTGTATTACTGTATTATAACACGATACAGAAGATTACTAATTGACTTTTGCATTTACATTTTACTATTACTTTGCCATCTATACTGTCCTCTCAGGTCTAATTGAAAGTGCTGATATTAATATACATAAAAATCTAGATGGTGTTTGGGGCACCGTATCCGAAAGAGCATGTCCTATATTTACTTACCAGAATTCCAACACCTTCACCCAAGGACTTCCTTAGGGTGCCTCCATATAGTGAAGTTGGATGATTGCCAAAAAAAAGGTGTCCTGGCTGTGGAACACAGTGAAGTTTGTGTGTTGCTTCATTATGGTATTTTTAAATTTTATTTGTATCCGCCTTTATTATTTTTACATGTAACAGACATATTCAACACACTTCTCATACTTTCCCCACAACAATAACCTTGTGAGGTAGGTTGAGCTGAGAGAGAGTGACTGGCCCAAAGTCACTCAGCTGACTTCCATAGCTAAGACATCCTCTTTATTATTTATTGCCATTGGTGGTGCTCTTGGTATGCTCACATCTATTACATTGTTTTATATGTTGCTTTGCATTCCATTATTTTACTGTTTATAATGCTTTAATTGATTATGAATCATCCACAGAATTCCTGATATTGAGAGTTATAAAAATACAACAAAAGAAATAATAACTTCATTGTGTGTATGTATTTCAGGTCAAAGAGCTTGTTCTTGATAACTGCAGATCAAATTGTGGTGAAATTGTGGGACTCACAGAAGAGTTTGTGAACTTGGAGCTTCTCAGCTTAATAAATGTTGGACTGCTCTCTGTCTCAAATCTCCCTAAACTCCCCAAATTGAAAAAGGTAATGATCTTATCTGTTATTTTATTGAAGGGCAGAATACCATGGAAAAGGTCTGTCTATATGGTCATTAAGAGTTGACTCCAACTTAATAACATGCAACTCAGTTTGGAGGGAAAAATTTCTCTTGTCTTCCTAATTACTATTTTATAATGATTCTTATACTAAACCTTTTGGGACTAACAGCTCCCAGGACTACCTGATTGTCTAGTAAGATCTGGAAGGTAGGATTCCCTTGGGAGTTCACAGTCTAAATGAGAGTTACTATCAACCATCATGAAGGTGGCCCATTTTCTCTTGCTGCCTTTCTGTGGAACGATCTTCCCTGCAGAATTAGATCAGTGCTAATCCTATTGAAACTTGGCTTTCCCAGGAAGACTTTAGTACTTGATTTTGGTTCCTCCTTGTACTATGAATGATTCACCAAGTTGATATGATTATTTCTTAGCACAGAAAGACTTGAAATAGATTTCTGTTATATTGTGTTAAATGTTGTTTTTTTAATTCTGTTTGTTGAATTGGAGTGTATGGTACATAGAATTTGCTATGGTTGAAGCAACATAAAGGTTTAAGAAATAGTTCCAGACACTATATTTTATCTTATTTATCTTCTTTGGATCCTGGTTCCAATTGTAAAATCTTCAAAGCTTTGAAATTCTCTGAACACAATATAATTAAGTTTGAGGAGAAAGTGATAAGAAAAATGCTGGAACAATGAACATGTGTAAAAGGAGCCCTTCTAGGAAAGTAGCTATTAAGCTATGCATTTATTTGTGTGTTTGGGAGATGGGTTGCTAGGGTTGGAGATAAAAATTAAAAAAATGTTATTAAGGTTTTAAAAATCACTTTATATTCAATGGCAATGAAGGTGATTTTAGAACAGATGACTGAACAAACATAGAACAGAACTACAACTCACAGAAGAAACATGATATATTCATTCTCCAGAGCACCATTTTATCTTTGAGTCTGAAGTAGTCCATATCAGTAATGGTTATACTTACACCTGTTGCTAGCAACAAGATCTGTACCCTGTTGTAGATCTGGAGAATGAAACATTACTAGTACCTTTTAGTCTCTGTGTCTTGCCATTTAGAAATGAAAATGGTAATGGGGGAGGAGCCAAGCATTTAATGCTTTCAATTAGTAATACAAATATGAACTAGCAAAATTTGATGACATTTCCCAAAAGGTAAGTGTTTATAGATGAACAGAGGAAATTGCCTGTGATTATAGTTGTTATTAAAACAAAAGGCATATAATATAGTTGGGAGCTAGGAGTATGGAAGAAGTACGGTACATTAAAATGCTTAATCAATATACCTTAGAATACAAGGTACTCTGTGCCCTATATCTCCCAAATAAAAGTATGTAGTAATTCTGAATTAAAAACTAAAAGGTGCTTCAGAGTGCACTTAAGTGCATATTTAGCATCTGTCTGTTACTGCTTAAAGAAGCTGTAATTTCCCCAAGAATTCTTCATGGGTACCCCTTAATCCTGAAAAACCTATGTTTGAATCAAAGACTTGCAAATGGCACATTTATACCTGTGCATACTCTAAAACAGCTTTCTTCTTGAAATCCAAATCATCTTTGGATTTGCAGCTCTGCTCCATAGCATTATTTTTCACTTCATCATTAAGACATTCTTTATTGCTATAATCTTATTTGTCAGAATTGAATTGAATTGAATGCTTTATTTGGCCAAAACTGATTAGATACACAAGGAATTTGTCTCTGGTACAGAAGAATCCAGCGTACATGCAAAGCAAAATAATAACAATAATAATATCACCACCAATAAAAAGGAAAGGAAATAATAAGGAAAAATAATAATGCTATAGTCACACTACATGGGTTAATAGACCTATTATCTATCCAACATAACTGTTATAATTCTTGTCTCCAGTAGTGAAGGAGACAAATTAAATGAGAATTGCTTGCAAATATTACCATGTAATCACTTGTTGGGTGGGGGTCAGTTCCTTGAATCAGTCAAGGTTTGACTTAGCATATTAATCAGTAAATGTTGTAGGCTTTAAAATGTTCAAGTTTTTCTAGGAGCCATGATGGCTCAATGGTTAGAGTGCAGTACAACAGGCTATTTCTGCTGACTGCCAGCTGACTGCAATTTGACAGTTCAAATCCCACCATGCTCAAGGCTGACTCAGCCTTCCATCCTTCTGAGGTGGGTAAAATGAGGACCCAAATTGTTGGGGGCAATAGGCTGACTTTGTAAACCGCTTAGAGAGGGCTGTAAATCACTGTAATATTAGTCTAAGTGCTATTGCTATTTGGAATTACATGTATGGACATATTTGTGATTTTATTTAAGATGTAACAACTAAGATATACCAGTATATTACTTTTAAAAATGGAAGTTCAGTATTGACACCTGCTTGCAGAGAACAGAGATGTCCAACTTATCTGGTGTAGTGTGCATAATGGGATTTTTAGAATAGATTGCAATAAATGTTCAACAAGATACTTCAGTCTGTTAGGAAACACTCCCTTGGACTTGGTACTCATTTGCAGCCTTATTAAGGATATTACACTGAGATCTGTGCTATCAATATCAGATTACCCTTTAATCCCTCTAGGCCATTTGATCCAACAGAGAAGAACCTCATACATAATTTCAAAGTCTTCAGAGCCAACATCTGGGGCAGCCTCCCGTTGCCAAGGCATGGTCTTTGCCCTACCAAGCAAGAGAACAGATCTCTACTGAAAGAGACTGCAACCATAATTGCACAAGACTTAATTCTTTTCAGTGCTAAAGTTGTGACTTTTGATGACTTGCCACCTGATCAACAGGTTTAATCTGTTAAGATCCACCCACTTATCTGGATCCCATGGTTGGAGACCAGTCAGTGGGATCTCTGAAGAACGTCAAACACATCCTGAACTGCGGATCAGATTGTGTGAGGCTCTTGATCTTTAGTTACAGTAGGTAACATTCTTGAGTAGATAGCTTGTATTCTATTGTCTTGAGATGCTTATAAGCCAGAAATATTGCTAATATTCTGGCTTTGTTGAAATCAGTAAAAAACATATGGCAAACATCAGCCTCTATTCATCTGACCAAAAAGCTGTTGCATTAAAAGAGGTAGCAGTTTTTTTCTGGCATTTGGTCTTGAAATCACTGGTAGTTGAGGTTCCGCATAAAAATTTAGTGCAAAGTGTCTTACAGCCCTTATTGATAAAGGAGAACATACTTTTCATATTTTTTTTTAAATTCACAACAAAGTTATTATTTAGAATGGAATTTCCAAGCCTATAACGGCTAATATCAGATTTTTCTTTTGTGAAAAGATGACCTATTTTCTACTGTATATGCTAGATGATAAATGAGACCTTGCTTCCGTTTTCTTAGCAGACGCCTCCCAAATCTCCAAGCAGCAGATGAACATCGCTGAATATAACACAGCTGCCTATGTGGCTGACTACATTAAAAGGAGTTATTGCTCTCCACTGCTACATCTGATCAGGACCATTGGTGTCTCTTGGGGTTCAGAACATGATGGAAGATCTTCTGCTCATCACAGAAGTATTTTTTTTCTAGAGTACAGCTAATGCTATGGGGAAAGTCAAAATCCAAAACACTGCATGAGAGTGCCAATCATGCTAGTCAGTAGCAGTGTCTCTGCTGCAAATAAAACCCATAGTTGGAATTAAATTGCCCTTCTCTAGCATTACAGTTGCTATAAGCTAATGTGCAACATGAGGCAACAACATTTCTCAAAATTGCTGCCTATCCTTTTATTTTTACAAAAAACCTTAATAAATACTCCTAAATATCATCTTTGATTTTTAGCATATAATCTCCAGGATCGCTACTTCAGTTCCCACTGGCAGTTGCTCTCCAAGGATGGAAATCCTACACTACAGAGTCTTAGTCTCAACTTTGATAGCTATGGGGTATGCCATAGAATTCAAGCCTTGCAGTATTTATTGTTTATCCTTCCCAGTTCCGCATTGATGTATGAAGTTTTGCTCAAAAAGAAAGTATGATCAGTACCAGACTCTCAGATGTGAATTGGATTTGATTATTTTGTCATCCTCAAAATTGACAATGAAGATCTTTGCAACTCATCAAATAATAGCTAGCTCAATAAATTCAGGATAGTCCCATTTCAGATTAGTTTATTTTGTTGTGTTGGGGGGCGGGGGGGGGAGAGAATGGTTTTCCTGACTGGATCCTGGAGCTACATGTTTCTTTATAATATGTTACAATGTATGATTATGGTTGTATGTCTGCATCTGTTTGGCATACATGTTAACTATTGGCTGCATTGTGCAACATAACATTTTGTTCAGCTTGTTCAGTGTATCAACAAACAAAATGTACTCTTTTCATGCACCTTTGGATAGATTCCATTTCTCATGGAAGTTAATGTATTATCTATTTAATGGAGTCACTCAGCACCCAGATGGACGCCCCAATTTCCAACATTATACTGTGAATGGGAAACAACCTCATTGTTGCTGTAAAAATGACCAATATAGTGTTTTCTGCAAGAAAATGGATACAACCTGGTGGCGCAGTGGTTAAATGCAGCACTGCAGGCTACTGCTAGATCAGCAGGTCAGCGGTTCAAATCTCACCGGCTCAGGGTTGACTCAGCCTTCCATNTGTCCAATGTTAAGGTATTTGCCCCATTCTATGTTAATAAGTCAAATGTAAGTATTCTTTAATTGTAATCATTAGTTGCTTCTATTTCCTTCTAGGGTCTAATTAAAGTATTATCTTAGGCTATTTTTTAATTCAAAACAAAAATATTTTCCCATGGAAACATTTCTTTATAATTAATTCCCCAATCTCATTTCAAATTTATTTGGATCCTTAGTCCATTTCGAACATTATAAAATCCAAGTTTTCATCGCCCCCTCTGCTATTTATTCCAACATATGTTTTAAATTCTTAACCTTGAACTAAAATGTCTTTCGCTAAGGTTTGAAGTAAACGTGTCTGGTTCTATAAAACCTGTTGATCCAAGATTCTTAATAGCTGCTAGCAATGATTTCTTAATGTAATTAGAAAAAAAGTACATGAACTTAGTGTTCTTTCAAAGGTGCCAACTGTGGATTGAGCAAAATGGCTATTCTCGCATCTCCCAGAGTTCTAAGGCTGACAGATTTCTGCTGTCTTGAGATCTCATGAGGAGCAACCGTCTGGAGCACATGTGGGTGATCTCAAGTTCTCTCCTTGTCTAGAGAGGAATTATAAAGAACTGGTCTACTCATTGGCTCACGCACTGTGACTGTCAACTCCGCATTTTGCGATGCTATCTTCAGTCTGCTATTTCTTCCTTGGAAGTCATAATCTCTGAAATCTCATCCAAACATCTATGCCTCACTCTTCTTCAAAGGGGCTCAGGAAGCCAGAGAAAACAGGTTGAATACAGACATTACATTTGCCAAAGGTATCTGTTGAACTTCATAGCCAAAACCCAATGTACTTATTTGGTTATTTCTATCTCCTGCTCAAATCAATGGACTCAGAATGGGTTACAATATATTAGACTGTTTTAAAAACCCACCAGAATAAAGGATCTCCCAAGATGGACACCAGTTAATGCTAGGCTTAAGGGGTTGAAGGCTTTAGAACAACATTTTGTTCTAAATCCTATGAGGGAAGAATCATAGGGTTTAATCTTTATAATCTTAAATTAATTCTGATTTTAATGTTAATTTCATTGAGTATATTGTACACTTCCCAGAGCCATTCTCTGAGGGGGGATATGTGGTTAAGAAATAGAAAATACAAATATAAAATAAATATGAAGCATTTGCAAATTATTGCTTTAAAGTTATTGCTGTTTATCAATATCCCATTCCAAACTTTTTGTAAAGTAGACTAAAACTCAATGTATATGGCAGCAATTCAGCAGTGTCCCAACTCAGGGTCATCCCACATCACTACCAAGTAGGAAAATGGCCAGCAACAACATACAACATTGCATGATACACTATGTTGTGGTAAATAGAAGTCTATTCCCAAACACTTCAGGAATATTCTAATTCAGAGAGTCACCTAGGATCCTTCCAGGTATTTTGGACTACATACCTTCCATAATCCCTGGCCACTGACCATGCTGCCTTGGTTTTATGGAGTTTTAGTCCAAAATATCAGCAAATAGTCAGATTTCCTATACTTTGTTTACCCTTCCTGTCTTTCTCAACCTGCATTTTGTTTTTAACTATTATCCTTAATTCTTGTAGGACTGGTTGCTGGTCTTAATGGGTGTACATAATGTGCTTTTCTTATTTAAAATGGCAAAGTTCATGGCTCCCCCAAGGGCAGGAATGTCAACTTCATACAGTTTTAAAATCATTCAGGGCAGCACAAAGGTGTACCTGGTATTTTAACAAACATTTATCTATAAATTTTGAACCTGCTCAATTATACAGTCTTGTATAATTTTGTGGCCCTCAACCAGACGTGGGTTCCTACCAGTTCGCGCCTATTCGGTAAGGAGAGAGAGAGAGAGAGAGAGAGAGAGAG